TTTAGTGATGAACTGAAGTTCAAAATCATTGGGAGCGATGGCATTTGTCGTGTACGTCGACCAGCCGGAAAACGCCTCGATTTACGTTACTGCTGTAAGACCGTGAAACATCGCAAAGGCAATGTAATGGTCTGGGGGTATTTTTCTACTAACGGTCTAGATCCAATACATCGAATCAATGGAATAATGGACCGTTTTATGTATAAAAATATCCTGAAAGATGTTATGTTACCTCATGCTGAATGGAATATGTCAATCAAATGGGTTTTTCAGCAAGACTACAATCCGAAACACGTTGCAAAAGTAGTCTAGCAGTGGTTTTAAGATAACCACCTATCGGTGATGGATTGGCCACGTCAATCTCCGGATCTCAACTCTATCGAGAACCTGTGGGAGATCGTCAACCGCAGAATTAATCGTAAAGGTGTTCGTAATAAGGATCAACTGTTTGAACAAATCCAAAAGGTCTGGGCAGCGATTCCACAAAGTTTCATTGATCACCTGATTGAATCTATGTCTCGAAGATGCAAGGCTGTGATCGACAACAAAGGATTTTCCACGAAATATTGATAGCGAAATACAGCTTGGTCAACATTTTGTGAAGTTGCACTTGTTTTGTCCAGAAGAAAAACAACTTTTTTTAATACTTTTAATTAATTTATTAACTTTCGTGTACAAATAATGAACTTTGTGATGAATAAAACTTGAAGAACGTTTTCTCTAAACAGTTACATAGTTATTTCTCTAAATTGAAAAAATGCAGCACTTTTATATAAAGAAATTAGCATTATTTGGTTGCACTTGTTTTGTCCGATACTGTACATGTATGTCACATGTATATGCATGTATGTCATATGTGTTTAATAAAAAAGTATCTAATTGTAATTGCCAATGTACAACAATATGTTTATTTATTGTATATATGATAGATATATACAATAGAATGAATTCATATTATTAATTCTCTAAATATTTAAGTCGTTTATTTTTTTCAATTTTTTTTTTTATCGCTGTTAATGTCAAAACAGTAAATAACTGAGTTAATTACTACAACACTCTAAATTACTTTTTAATACCTAATAATAAAAATCCCCAAATAAAATACTATTACCGAGTAATAAAAAGTCCCCAAATTTAAGTTTTTTTGAAGAACCTTTAAGTTCTTCAAAGAACCGGCAAAGAACCGCCAAGAACGTTTTAGACTTACAGTTCAGATTTAGAAAACTACAACATGAAATGTATTTAGCTGAATTGTTATTATTATTTTTTATGGAAATCCAGACTTGTATAGGATTGTGTTGCACTCATGTTTGATGCAATTTCGTATGATTGTCCTCTACAGTTTGTAATGCTTTATAAATATCATTTCCTTTTAAAAATGCAGGCAGTACTTTTGCTAAGCTCTCACGAGTATGCTCATATATTGGAATAAATTTTATAAAACGTTCAACTGGCCTGTTTACTATTACATATCAAATTATCAATGTTAAATGGTCTGAATGTGAAACATCTGATGTTAAGTCTACTGAGACAAAACAGCGTTTCGCATCTTTTATTTCTTGTATCACCTGCCTCATTCTTCGGCTAATTCTTCGGCTTTTGAGAATTGCTTACAATTAGGAAAAGTATGTGTTACCAGTTATTGGAGAATAACACAGCCAATCATACAATCATACAGCCTACATAAAAAATCAGATATTCCCTTAGAACTCCCAGACCTTTTTATTGACAATCAATTAATAAAGAGAGAGCAATCAATAAAGTTTTTAGGCGTGTTTCTAGACGAAAATGTAACCTGGAGGGAACACATAGGTGTAGTTGAAGACAAAATATCAAAAAATTTAGGTATAATGCACAAAGCAAAGCAGTTATTACACCGATCTTGTTTAAAAAACATTTACTTTTCTTTTATTCATTGCTACTTAAGTTATGCGAACATTGCTTGGTGTAGCACTAACGCGACAAAAATAAAAAAATTGCTTAGCAAACAAAAACAGGCTATAAGGATAATTTCAAACGTAGATCGTTTTTCACACACACAAACACTTTTTAATGAACTCAATATCCTAAATGTATATAAACTAAACCTCTACCAAGTTCTTATTTTCATGTTCAAACTTGATAAAAATATATTACCAATCTTATTTTATTCAATTTTCGAAAAAATAAATCACATATACCCTACAAGATTTTCAAAATACAACTACATTCAATCCAAAACATATTATTATTCCGCTACTAAATTCTCTATTGTAAACCGAGGACCAAAATTGTGGAACATAATATTAAATAATGAAATGAAAACTAATTATTCTCTAAACCAATTCAAAACAAAACTTAAGCAATTACTTTTGTTAACTGAAAATGAATTAAATTTTTTCTAATTAAACTTCTTTATATTAGAAATCAATAATTAATAGTTAATTAATTACTTTAGATTATTAATACATAATTAATCAACAATTGTACATATGTTTTTATCATTTTAAATGATAATCTTCTTTTTGAGAAATTTATTTTTTATTTTTGCGTTATTTATTAATCTTTTACTTTTATTTTATACTGTTTATTTGCTTTTACTTAATTGGCAATGAAAACTATTATAAATATAATTAAATAAGTTAAATTATAAAATGCTCTACCAATAAAATGTTTTTATATAAAATCATATCTTCTTATTTTTTCAAACCAAGTCTTAAATGTTATTTTTTATTTTACAAAACAATTGTTAAATCTTATTCTTTGAAAAACTATAAATTTTAAACGATATGCGATATATTTAAACTTTCTTTTATAATATAAATCAGAGATATATACATTGAAACTATATTTTATTTTCAAACTATATTTTGTCTAGTAATGACGCATTTTTTGGGGCTTAATGATAAGACTAAATTTGTCTTCTTCTAGCCCCGGTCATGTAATTGTTTTTTTTATAAGTTACGACTGTAAATTTTTTTTTTTTATCGGCAAAAGTGTAAATAAATAAGCTGAACTTTCTAAATGTTCAATTGTTCTTGTAAAAACAATAAATTTAAACAACGTCGCTCAAACGTTAAATTGCCTGCAGATATATCTTCTGACGTTCTAGATTTACTCTCGATGTGTTGCAATTCCTTTTAAACAGAAATGCTTGCGCTAAACATCAGTAACTTTCCACATTCCAACATTATCAGGAAATTTTATATCTACATCTGCAAGTTTATCTTTTTGCGTTTCCACTTTAACCTTTTCTACTAGACCTGGTTCGTCTTGAAGTTATTGTTCACGGATTCAATTTGTTGTTAAGTTTTGTAGGCATCTCGTAACCTTTTTCTTAGTCGAGATCATCAGTTTGACAAGTTTCAGTTTAAGTTGTATTACTTGTACCAGGTACAATATAAGCAGACGTGGCGCAGCGGAAAGAACAAAAGAGATCCAAGATTCAAAGCGAGCTCTGGGCATATTTTGCGCTGTTGATATTGAAGGAGACGTGAACATAGTTAGAACCGAGTCAAATGTCTTCTTGGGGTACCTAATATAAAAAAATTAAAAAACCTTTTTCTCTTCTTCTTTTTCAAATTTTGATTTCTCTCCTCGGCTTTTATATTTTTTCATGATTACTAATCTTTATTCTTATAAATAGAAAAAATTATTTAAACAATATGATGAGCGAACATTCTAAACTTATAAAAGATTTCGATTGGAATCTGAAATAAACATAAAGAAAACAAGTAAAAGATAATTTGTGTAATGAGTAAATTGTATTGTTGCATTGTTTATGTTTTCGATAGTTAAGCATCCGATAGATAAACATTAATTGCAGTGTTATGATGTCCGATGGTTAAGCAATTAGTATTTTGGGCCGCTGAGGCGGGTTTAAATATCCAAGTGTTGATTTGAACTGTTGACTACTAATGTTAAATTAGAAAACAAGACTTGAATTAGGTAAAATTAATTAGTCAATAAGTTGCTATCACGAGCATACTCATTGAAATAGTCTTTGGATGTGTCTTCAAAAATGTCTCTTTATAAAACTGTCGCACTTTGCTCTCTTTTAAGTGAACAACTCAAGATTTCAAGTCAAAAATAGCTGAAAATGTGAAACTCTTCTAAATTTAAAAAACATAGTGTTTCATATAAATGTAATCAAAATCAACATGTACAGATTCAAAATCGAAAAACACTAAATTGAACTAAACCATTTTTTATTTATGCATAAGCATTTATATCTACATTGCCCGGTGAAGTACAAAAAACTGAAATTTGCAAATTCTTTTTCTTTGTCATAATACGTATAATCTATTTAGCGGATCGCATCTCTCATGCAAAACATTGCTTTTATTGAAATGAGAATTGCAAATATGTACAAGCTAAATGTAATTAATATTGTGTTTTGTGTATATATAGAAAAAAATTATCGTTAAGCGTCTTCTAAAAACTTTTTACTCTGAGACCTTGTCAATTAATACGTTTTGATTGTAGTTTTTTTTAATAATTCTTCTTGTCAAACAAACTTTACTTAATTTTGTATTAACTTTTAGGCATCTTTAGAATAAAGTTTCTCACTTTTTCTATTCTTATCTACCAATCATTTTTCGTCATTTTAAAAATAAACTAAAAAACGTTATTCTTTTATTATATTATCTATTGAGTTAATATTAATAGTGTAAAATAAAAATGTATTACTTTTATCTAAATTTTTTGATCTTTATATACTTGTCTACATTTCTTTAAAGTCTATTTGTACTTATTTTATATATCGTATCTATACGTTTTACTTTACTAAAATATTTGTTGCTTTACGTCTATACAAAATTCTGATTAGGAGATCCACATGATATTTCCCCAGATACATAGTTTATATACCTTGAAACTCTGTAAAAGTTTATTAGCGTTTTGTCTATGCAGCTGTTTATAATTATCCGGTAAATATTTAGCTTGGGGACGCTTCGTTAAAACTCATTTATTACATAACTATGAACTATTTTTTTTATTGTATGAATAAATAAGACGAAAAGTTAATTTACTAATATTTCTAAACACATAAGATTACATCGATTGCTATTTTTGAAAATTACATTAAGTCCTATTTGTAAAGATTACAACAATTACTTGAAAGTTCGAGCATGGTGCAAAAGTTGGCGATCTTTTTTAGACTAAACAAAACAAAAACTCGTGTTTAGTAAAAAACACTATAAACTATAAGTAACAATCTTCAAATAAAAATAAGTAAAATTGATTTAAAAAAAGTTGCATACCTTATTTGCCTCTGCCTCTTCCTCGGTTTTCGCCACCACCTCTGCTTCTGTGTTCACCTCCACCTCTGTTATGACCTCTGCCTCTACTTTGGCTTCCACCTCCTCCTCCACCTCCACCTCCTCCTGCTCCACCGCCTCCTCCTCCACCTCCACCTCCGCCCCCACCTCCTCCCCCGCCTCCGCCTCCACCTCCACCCCCTCCTCCTCCACCTCCACCACCTGCGCCTCTACCAACCCACGGATCTTCGACTTCATTTCTTAATCAAAATAAGTTAGCATTAGACAAAATTAAATCAAATAAACAGATAAAAAAAAAAAAAAAAGATTTAGGTTAGATTAAATACATCAATTAGCAAATCAATTAAAACTATGGTTTAATTTATTATGTTGAAAAAACTTACAACTCTCTTTTTCCATAACCATATCCACCGTACCCACCGTATCCATATTCTTTGTTATTACTGACTTCATTTCTAAACAAAAACTAGCTTTTATTAACGGTATTTTTTTTTTCTGTTACCAGAAAGTGATTATTTTCTAAATGATATCATTATTAAAACTAAAACGAATTTAAAGCAAAAAGTTTGTTATTCGTAAATTGCAATTAACTGTAATAATACTCACTTTATATTGGCAAGAATGTTTTCATTTACACGGTTTATAGAAGCTCCGTCACTTAGCTAAATAAAAAAAACCCAAGCATTTATATTGTCCAAAACTGATGTATATCTTTATTAAATATGATATATCGTCTACTTACTAGATGTTGAAAAAAAATCACAAAAACAACAAATATTTTGAGCTGAAGCATTCTTGATAAACGACGCTTTTTTTACTCAAAACTGCTTTTTTACCCTTTTTATATAACCTGTGAATTAATTACTAAAACACCCAGAATGTAGTTTGTTTCACCTTAAAGTTGTTGTAATCGAAAAATAATAGGTTTCAATCAAAGAAAAGGCTCCTAATTTTAATTACATACCATTTAGTAGGATTAAAGTTAGAGAAACGCCAACGAAACTGCATCACAATATTTACATTAGAACGTTTTTGAGTAGGAAATTTAATGATCAAATATTTTAAAATAATAAATGATGTAAAACGTAGTAGGTAGGGTAGTGTAATAGCGGTTGAATGTGGATACGTTACACCTTTAGCAGATAAGAATACAAAACCACAAAAGCAAAACAATTGCTTAAGAATATGTTGTTTTTGAAAATTAACCAGAAGCAAATCAAATGTCAACAAAATTGTCTTTAGATAACTTTTGATGATAAATAATTCAATAATAATATTGGTTTAGATAATTATATTGTATCGAAATTTTTATTATTTTAATAAATTATGATATTTCATGTTATTTATTATACGGCCAGTTCAAATTAAGATATATAAGTTTTTCAACCTTCAGTTTTTTTGTAGATAGACTTAATACTAGTATGAGAAAATAAAACAAGAAATTAGTTTTTGTTTTTTGCCTTTTCATTTATGTTTTATTAAAACATACTTTTAAGCTTTACAAGAAATTTGAAGATTTTTGCGTTGACTTTTTTGTTTTTTTGTTTTGTTTTTGATATGTAAGTTGTTGAATAAATTAAACATTCAAATTTAATGAAATGATAGTTACGAAAATGAAACTTCATCATGAATAAAATTTCAGCTGGACAACTTGTTTGTTGCCCACTTACTCTAAACGAGTAAAAATGAACT